ATTTCGCCCAGGGCCTCTTATTGTTCAGGACCGGCTCTGCCACTCCTACGCTTCCCTACATCACATGAAGTCCATTTCAAAGAAGTTTATATTAAACACTTCTTGGGAAGTCACTTTTCAAAAAATTCATCTTGAACAATAATGCTAAGGAGCCAACAACCAATGAGACAACTCCATGTGGGGCGGTCCCACATTGAAGCCATGTGGGACAGCCGCACATTGAGCTGTCTCATTGGCTGTTGGCTTTGTAACGGAGCTAACAGTTGGCTCCTTAGCAATACTGCATCTTAAAATGGATTTCTCAATTAGTGTATCAATTCAAAACGTTATATATTCACTGCGTTAGCTAGCGAAATTAATGGTGTATTACGTAAATATATTCACTACTCAAATGAATTAGCAACACATATACATACATACGAGAATATCAATATAATTAAAAGTGATTATCTTTAAAATATAATTTTAATAGTGACATTTATTAGCATGTTGGTGTTAATTTAGGGAAATGATAAATTAAATTCTTAAGTAGCTTATTTGCTAGAAATATTATTTGATTAGTTTGTTGAACTCAAACGTTAATTTTGAAAAAAAAAAAAATTTAAAAGAACAACATTTTGTAAAGACATGATTAAAAAAAATACAACGTTATTGTTATAATTTTTTTGCTATTTGACAAATCAACATTTAATTGACATGACGCTAACTGAATCCACTAGTTTTATCTCAATTAATACAATTAACTATACACTATTCATTATCCGCTAAAATAAAATAAGACATAAATACTTTTTTTTTTCCTTCAAATTTTTCTTATTACAATCCCCTATGCTCGTAGGATATTGAAACACATTATGCCTAACGAAAGCAATGTTTTAAAAAATATTTTCATAAGGTGTATCTAACTAAACAATACCAAACAAAGTTGCGGTCATAGATATTATACTAGGTACGTTAATTTTTTAATTAGCTGTTTGAATTAACTAATTGTTCAAGCACAGCAGCACATGACCATAAACCAATGATAGTTCCTAAACAGAAAATTAATTTGTAATCTAGTCATAAATCTTGACTAAGCACCGACAGTGACAGTAATAGTTTTGTTATATCTATACTTATATAATAAGAATTAACATTTATCCAAAATAGTAGGTCAAATTATGGTCAATGTCAGATTTGCATTAAATATTTTCCAAAACTGGTAAGTTTTTGTCCTTTTCACACTTCTCATTAATTATGTCTTTTTCACACTTCTCATTAATTATGTCCTTTTCACACATTCAATTAATTCAGTAATTACGACATAATTATCATAAATCATTCCATCTGAGCTTTTATCGTTAAAATGTATAGCGATCTGTTATGACCTTATCCCATTGATATTTCCATGAAGCGTCCTTATCGCGTTCTATTTTTTGGTAACCACTCTATATCAATAACCGGATATTTGGTTAATGATAGCACACGTTTTTATTTCAAGGAGCGGATATTCTTTGACCTTTAATTAATATGAACTGATTGCCTTGACTTTTCAATTTTTAAAAACTCTTTTTTAAAATATTTCGGCCTAAGATTCGGATTTCATTATACAAGTCATCAGATTGTTTGAATGAAAATGAAAGAAAAGAACACCAAAAACAGGTAGCCTTATTCATATAACTAATCCTAAAATATTAGTTTGTTTACCAAAAAGAGACAAATTCTAAAAATCCTAAAATATTAGTTTGTTCACCAATCCTAAAATATTAGTTTGTTCATAAAAAATATTAGTTTGTTTTTAGGATTTGTCTCTTTTGAAAATATTAGTTTGTGATAATGAGGAGTTACCAAATAATCAAACTCATAATGTTGTGTACAATGAAATTTTTAATAATATATGATTGTTACCGAACTTTTTATGATTCAATAATGTTCCTATGTATTTTAATGATTTCAATTTCGATCATAATGCACGTGAGGTTATATTATTCTTCCAAATTTTACATCCCGTGCATCGCACGAGTTACGTACTAGTATGAACTAAGATATATAATAAATATTATATTCATTGCTGCATGTTATCATTGGGTTTGTTTAGTTGGGCTAGAAGCGCAGCCCACTAAAGTATACGAGTATTCAGATCCAATTATGTTAACGATCTACTTTCAGACCCATTACCAAGTCCAATTAAATACACCTTTAATAATGTAAAATTGCATGGTAAAATTTATTGAAACTAGCATTTTTTTAATACTAAAAATTTTCAATTTTTCCCAATCAACTAGCGTTCAAAATTTTCAATTTAACACTAAAAATTTTATTACCAAACGCTTAGTTGACAAACTAGTGCTTAAATCTGCTAATGAAGCTAAGATGATACAATCCATTATCTACTAATACATTTATCTACTATCCACTATTAATTAATTGTGAAACCGTGGAAAATAAAAAGTCAAACCTTAAAATATAACAAAAAGAAAGTGATCGTTTTTGCATCACTCGTAGGCAAACTAGTGCGATGCAAACCCAACTTTTGAAATGGAGCACAAACTTTGTAAAATAAGCTTTTGGACAAAGCAAACAAAGAAAATAACGAAGGAAGAGAAGGAAAATAATCTAATTGTCAACAAATGAAAATAATTATAACGTGTGAAGCTATAATATTATTTTGTATATGTTATTTGTGTATAATGTGGCCAAATTGCAAAGTGAAAATGAAGTAACTTTCTCTCACACCATTCCACCTCTCACGCTAGCTCCAACCGATTTTGGCACTAATTGCTTATTATATAATGGTTACTGCTAATTAATTAGGATTTAAGTTTGACATTTGAGTTACCCAAGTATATTAAATTATGCTGAGATATACACTACGCAATCATATGGGTATAACAACATATTTATATTGTGAAAAATAAATGTTTATGATATAACCACAATTAAAAAGTTAATTGTTAAGCTATATACAAATAAAACTATATAAATAATCGGATACAAAATCAAGAAAGACACTAGTAATATAAAAATCAGGTTAAATGGGCCAACATGAAGCCCAATCCTAAATCAAGATCAGCTTATTTAATTGGGCCAAGTCTTTTTAGGAGATGAATTTGTTGTGAGCATTGACCGTATTTGGGGAACTGTTATATCTCGTGTCTTTACATATAAGTAATTATTTTATTTAAACTATATAACAATCTATAATATCTAGGAGCATAATAATGAATATACTTGATAATCTAGGATCATATTATAGATCAATTTTCCACATAAGTCAAAATTTGGTGAGGACCATAATTACTTAAAAGAAGTAATAAATGGGGTGTTTTAATAAAATATAGCACAAGTTCACAAAAACGCGTGCACCACATAAACTATTGCGTGAATTAAATGACTATCGGTGCTTTTCACCTCTTAAGAGCATCTTTGGACGCGATTACGATAATTTAATTAAGTTAATTAATCCAGGTCCTAATCTGTGACATGTGGCAACAAAATAGAGAAATAGAATGACCATTGGAGATACTCTAATCTGAGAAGGTGACGCGATTTGGATATGGGGGCCCACTACTGAAGCCCATTTCCTTTTATTCAGTCTTTTGTGGGAAAAAAAAAATAATATTGAAATAGTCACATAAAATAAAAATATATTAGCAATTCAAAGCTTTTGCCACTGGCAATCACGTGATATTGCATAATATTTTCCTTCTCTTTGCCAAAATTGGTGACATAGTAAGTTCAATTCGAATTGATTGAATATATTTCTGTTTTTGTTTCATCATGTGTCTCAATTTTGTGAATATGTATTAGCCTTAGATATATACTATTTAACAAGTTATTAAAGTTAACAAGATCTGAATTTTATCAATTGGTTTACCGAATCATATACTGATAACATTTCAGTTGTTAAGGGTGTGATTGGATATAAATTTAATTAATTTTTTATTACCTTTGTTAATTTTGAAAAAGTTTATGTGGTTAGTTGTTAGTCGATGTTTAAGTTTAAATTAAAATAATATTTAAAATAAAATAATTAAAATTAATTTGATATAAAAGTATGAGAGACATGATATGAGTCAAATTCGACTCTTAACAAATCAAGCTTGAGTCGAGTCAAACCAGACTCGTTTAATTTAACGCGCTACCTATAATTAAAAAAATTAAGATAAATTTATGTTATATCTCATTCTTTCCATTCCTCTTATATTCATTTAAATTATTACATTTCACCTCCCCCATCGTTCTAAATGAATGACACTTATTACATCCCGGAGCATTTATAGTTCTAGTTTGATTATTTTTTATCTCAAAATATTTGTTAGTTCTCAAACGGATTAATTTAAGAAGGAAATTGCATAGAAAATAAAAACTTGAAAAAATATAAAGAAAATTTAGTTATTATCATATAGAAAATGTAGTTATTATCATATCTTTTCATTTTTTAGTAATTTATGTGCAAATTTGTATTAGTTAAGCCGAAAACCTCAAGGCCCATGTCGCATGTTTCATACTCTTTCCTAGCAACTATCCCAACATCTGTCCCACCTTCAAAAGACTAAACACGTGCAAGACCCGCTTTTCCAGGGCCTATACAAAAAATCTACTCATGTTTTCACTTCTAAATCAAATTTTATTAACTTCTTAGATTTTGTGTAAATTTTTATATAATTTTTTTATAATTCGATTTTTGGGCAAGTTGGAGCTATTAAACGAAAACATTAGCTCATGAATTCGAATCAATTGAAAATATAGATTGTTATATAATTTCGTATAACTTAACTCGGTTTAGTTCGGCTATTACTAAAGTTGCTAACGAGTTTGGTTCGGCTATAACTAAAGTTGCTAATATTAATAAATGAATTCAAATTCATTTATTGGCTCATTTAATTAACAAGTATCATTTCAAAATTGACTATCTCGTTTACTCATTTAAAATGGAAAAGTATAAAGTAAGAGATATTCTCATAATTTTCTTGAAATAATAATTTTACATAAAAAAATTAGAAAAATCTTACAAAACTCAACATTTCAGTGGCATTCTCGTAATTAACCCTCCCCAAGGCCCCAATAACACACCATCCCCAGTATTTATCCTTCCTCTTTCTTTCCTCACTAATCGCACTCTTCTCTCTTTTCTTTACTCAGTTTCCACGAAACCCGGCCCGCACAACCCGGTTCTCGACCGACCCGGTCCGTACCGCCGATCAGCTGCTTATCCGTTCATAAGCCGGCATTGACTGAAACTGCGCCGCATCGATGACGTCCGGCACGAGGCTGCCGACATGGAAGGAACGAGAGAACAACAAACGGAGGGAGCGGCGCCGCCGCGCGATTGCCGCCAAGATCTTCGCCGGGCTGAGGATGTACGGCAACTACAAGCTCCCCAAGCACTGCGACAACAACGAGGTCCTCAAAGCCCTCTGCAACGAGGCCGGATGGATCGTGGAAGAAGACGGCACCACTTACAGAAAGGTACAGATTACAGATCGAACGATCGATCGACTGATTAATTGCCGATGCGCAAGTTAGCTATTGTTTGCTTAGCTTTAGGAATGTGTAGATCTTTGCTCAAAATGGTTTGGTTAGATACTTAGATGCTTCTGGTGGATGGTGATTGTAGTTAATTTCCTTGCTGGGGGTGGTTTATGCTAAATTGAGCTGGGTGCGTTTGGTGCAATTTAGCGCCGATGATCGGGTTTCTGCAGGTGGACCTGCGGGAGCTGGTGAGTCAATCGCAATGTCTAAGGACAGGGTGCTAAGGTGCGCCGTACGCGCCCGGCGCATGATAGGAGTCGTGTTAATGAATTTCTTTTTTCAACTTTTTTTTGGGAGGCTAATTCTAGGTCATAAACAGTGTTGCGTGATTAGCTGTCAACTGCCGTGCAGTCCAGAGCATGTGAGGGGCCTGCTTGCTTTGTAGGTAGAGATTTACGGGGAAATGGTATCTACTGCGCGGCGTACGATAGATTATTTGGGAATGTGATTTTACCATTTTTCTAGGGACCACGTACACCAAAAGATTCTTCCCATTTTCACCTATTGTCAGTCAAATTAATTGTGTAGAGTATGAATCTATGAGTTTTGTTTTTATTTATCTTTTTTTTTTTCGGAAAAAAAAATTCAACTGGATGGCTGATCAACAGCCAAGATTAATGTCAAGTAGTTCATATTTTCACATTAGCATAAATAAGCTAATATTAACACGCTGCCATGATATTCATAATAGTAACATTGCTTGAATTACTGTATTATTTGTTTTCATTTGCTATGTGAAATAAATTCAAAACCTATAGATGCATCTGTAGTTAATTGAGTAGTGATATATACAGTCCTTCAATTTCTTCCGTGCAAGTGTCAGCTCATTTGATCCTAAATAAAATTCACACACACAGAAAAACCATCTTTGAATGTTCCAAAACCATGGTGGTGTTGATCTAAGCCATCTGGATATTTGAACTGTCATTCTGAGTAGCTACAGCTATATGACCATTTAAGCATTTCTTGTTGGAATTGTGCAGTTCACTCTTCTTTATCATTTCAACACCACCTCTACATCTATTGGTTCTGCCTATTCATTAAAGACCATCTAATTTCAGTAATTTGTAAATATAATATGTAGGCCATGTTCGGTGAAATAAGCTAGCTTACAACTTTTAAGTTAATTTTGAGATTATAGCTGAAAAACTAGCTTATACGATAAAGTGTCCGATAAAATTAGTCAATAAGCTAACTGAAACGAAAATTTCAATGCACTTATTTGAAAAGCTACCCTTATCCGATAAAATTAGTCAATAAGCTAGTTGAAACTTAGTTTATCTTACCAATGTTTCTAACAATCTCACGTATTTCTAGTTTTGCACTTTTTTATTTATTTATTTTTGCTTGACTTTGTCAGGGATGTAAGCCTGTGGAACGAATGGATATAATGGGCTCATCCGGAGTAAGCCCTTGCTCATCATATCGACCGAGCCCAGGCCCATCGTTCAACCCGAGCCCAATCTCGTCCTCATTCGCAAGCCCCGTCTCTTCCCACTTCACAAATAACACCACCAACACAAACGACCCGAATTCCCTCATCCCTTGGCTCAAAAACCTCTCGTCTTCTGGCACTCAACCTCCATCTTCCAAATTCCCCCACCATCTTTACATCCCAGGTGGCTCCATAAGTGCCCCTGTAACCCCTCCTCTCAGCTCACCCACTGCACGCACTCCAAGAATGAACAATGACCCATCATCCAATCCCGCCTGGCAGCAGCATTTTCCGTTTTTACCCTCGTCCACTCCACAGAGCCCTGGCATGCAAACCCCGCCTGATTCGGGATGGCTTTCTGGGGTTCAGACCCCACAAGATGGGCCTTCTTCGCCAACGTTTAGCCTTGTGGCTGCTAACCCGTTTGGTTTTAGGGAGCCAGTTTCGAACGGGGGCTCGCGTATGTGGACACCCGGCCAGAGTGGAGCCTGCTCGCCAGCTGTCGCCGCAGGGTTCGACCAGACGGGTGATTTGCCGATGTGTGATGCTATTTCGGCTGAGTTTGCTTTTGGGAGTAATAATAATAAGGGGATTGTGAAGCCTTGGGAAGGTGAAAGGATACACGATGAGTGTGTTCCGGATGAGCTTGAGCTCACTCTTGGGAAT